TATAAACTAGTTTTTGAAGTAGAAAATAAATTGAGGAGAGAAAGGAAAATTCCTGTAGAAGCTACTTACTACCATTACTATTTAGAGAACTTTGCGTCATAGCAAAACAACTTAATTTCCTCCCCAATTAAGACTTATCATAATTAATACCAGTATACTCAAACAGTCAGATTTTTATAAAGAAAACAAAAGGAGACAGAAGCAAGTTGTGGAAGCAGGATGGCAGAAAGTCTCCTTTTTCCAAGCTGCCAGCTTTATTTATATCAATAGGTTACATTAGGTCACTGATAGTACATTATTGATCATTGTGTCATTAGGTAGGTTACAAACTTAGCAACATTATGCAGCTTACTCTTCAGTTATATACTATAGTTGCAGTGTGCAATGTTAGGACATCTGTGTAGCTCTTAAGAAAGTTCATTGTTTCAAGTTATTGTTATGTGGACAGGTTCAGGTGCAGCAGAGCTTGGTGAAACATTGTGGTTATCTAAAAGAGAATTCCTTTCTTCCCAGAAGCTGAATGCCTGAGATCAAGGTCAAGGCTGATAAGACTCTAGCACAGAGCCTCCTCATGCAGGGCATTGCCACAGTAGCTATGCATTGCATATGTATTCGTTTTCTTACTAGTTCTTTGGAGAAACTGCAGAATATTCCAAGTGTGGAAAACAAAATGCCTGTTATTCCTCAGGATTTTGCTCACCAGAGGAAATTCTCTGTCTTGTACATTTCCACTGCCAAATTTGTATGGATTTTTAAATTTTTTGAGCATTTAAAAATAAAATATATTTAATTAGAGTTATAAACCAAATGAGACTTTAGAAGAAATAAAAATTTGAATAAATATCAACTTGTTGTAGGACCTAATTTTCTTTTACGCAATTAAAAATATAATAAAATCTGCAGAAAATATAAGATATTGTTTGATAAAATATAAAATCTTTGTTCTTTAAGTTGGTTCTTTTGTAAACTTTGCTAAGAGTGGTTGAGTCATTACCAGACTTCTGGATTCCACTTAAAAATGAATTTTAAAATTTGCTTTAAGTTCTTCTAGAATTTAAATATTATTAGACTTGACATCAAGCATAGCACAAAATCCATTTAACATTTGAAGAAGACAGTGAAGTTCCTTGCTGATAATTAAAATACGACCTAGGCAGTTTATTCAGAAAATATAGTTTTTGAATGTACAACTAGGCTCTGGAAATGTGTATATAGCCTTTAGATTGCTGAATAAAGATATAGACGTACCGATATTTAATTTTTTGAAAATACTGCTAGGATTTATGATCAATGAACTACCACAACAAAAACTCCATAATTATGAGCTCATAGTAAAATGATGTCATTCTAGAAGCCAGAAATAGAAACTATGCATAGGTTACTAGCCTTTTATACCATTAGTTATTTCCTTTAATTTATCTTAGGCTTTGAACAAGGAAAGGTATAGGCTCACTCATCAATTTCCAAATCTACTAAACAATTAATATTTTAGACAAACCATGAATGTCATCTATACATGTAAGCATTACATAATTTTGAAAGAAAGCAGAACATTTCTGAGGTGTGGAAAGCCTAAGATTTTTAGCTCTAGATTTAAGTTTTATTACAAAAACAAAATTATTTTAAAAGATACATTTTTAAGAATTCAAAACACTTCTCTTATTTAATATACTCATTTTAACAGCTATGTTTAGATTATTCATTTATAGCAAGCATAGTTAATGTTTTAATTTTTTTCCTAAAAAAAGTCCTAAGATATTCTTTTATATAGAAAATAATGAACACTATTCCTCTGATAGCTAGACAAATATCCGAATTGGTTAGCAGGCCATAAACTCAAGTTACTAGATTTTAAAGACATTCTTATAAACAAGTTTAATTTACTTATCACAGATTTACTAAATTCATGTGAAAGGCATTTGGTCTGATAATAAGTCAATTTAGTATCATGCAAACAGTCTGTGTATAAGCATATAAACATACAGGAACATTCAAGGAAATTTAAAACTTAGATTTAATATTTTCTAGTTTTAAAAGCCATATTTTTGACCTGATATTGAAAGAAGTCTGTTAAGTCTTAAATTTGCATTTCTGAATTTGATGCCAAATAGAAAATTTACATCTAATGACTAAGGCTAGCAAAACTTGAATTGTGAATCTTCTTTTTAGAGACAGGCAAAAAATTAACCCACCAACCAAATAAACAAACAAAAAACCAAACCAAACAAACAAAAACAACTTTATCTAGAATATATATACATAATTTACATATATAATATATACATATATAATTTAAGCACACGGAATCAAAGAGGAAGTGAATTTACTGGGGGAGGGGGAACATGAACTCAAATAAAGTGATTATGGGTAAATATAGTCCATCTTTTCAGTAGAGACTTATCTAATGATGGAAGCATGGACTATCCTTGGGAAATGTTTTAGGTGATCAAAATGTGCTGCTTCACGAATTCCTTTCCCTCCTTCAGCAGTGAGCCAGAGATTTTTATCTTATGTGTTCCCCAAAAAGCCCTAAACATCAAGGAGTGAATGGAGTTAGTTCAAGGTATGAGTTGAACAAACTTTTATAGTTTATCTTCTGAATAAGATTCCCAAAGTTCCTTACAACCCAGGAACAGGGTGTGCTCTTCTGAAATGGAATTCTTTTTACAAGTGGATAAATCTGGTGCAGGAGCCACCAGAACATRGCCTATTGAAGCCAGTTGTGAAGTTTAAACTTGTGAAATAGTTGTACTAAATCAGCATGCACTTCCAGTTATATAGGCTCTGATATACTCTTCCAAAACAAAACTGGATAAACATGCACTCATCCAATCCAATTAGAGTGTTGGAAAATTTTTATGTCTTCTGAATTGTATCTGACTGACCAGCACCCCCCAAAGCAAATGTTCCTGTAAGCCATAAGCAGCTAATGTTCCACATGGCTCCCTACTTTCCATACAGGAGGTAGCCAGTACCACAGAAGGACTCAATGTCCAAAGCCACAATTGGTGGAGAAAATCTTCAGTGTGTACCTTGATGGAACAACAAATATGGCCTGCTGACTTTTTTCAGTAACCTTTTTTCCTCACCAATGAAGCCATTTTTGAAAATTGAGGCTGCAGTAGAAAGGAATGGGATAAATCACCTGGGATTTAAATATATCCCAGCAGATGCAGTACCCTTCCTGGAGATTCCAAATCCAGCTTAGGCTGGTTATGAGAGCATCTTATCTGTAAGGCCTGTCTTTGGAGATCATTGCCAGCCTGAGCTATCTTGCTTAAGGGCAGGATAGGCTATTGCTCCTGACTGGAACTCCCCAGTTGGTTCTAATAAAGCCTGGGGAGGAAAGAGGCTAGGCTATAATACTCCCATCAATTTTACTCTGAATATTTCTGGAGCACTGAGTGTTCTAGCCTCATCTCTTTCCTCCTGGGTGGCTGTACCACCCAGGAATGCCCACACTTCCCCTCTATGGTGACAGGAAGTGAATTTGAGTTTGGTCAGAAGAAAGGGGTTTTCTTCTTTATGGTTTAGATATATGTGGGGTCCTCAAAAGCTCATGTGTAAGACAATGCAAGAAGGTTTAGAGGTGAAATGATTGGTGTCCTGTGGGGGCTCTGACCCAGGAAACAGATTTGGGGTTTGGCAGGTGGAAGAAGATGCCAGACGCAGCTGCCACAGGCAGTGAATGCCGAGGTCCTTGTGGATGTGAGCACGTGGGGCAGTTGTGCTGGGAAGTTCATCCCTCATGACAGCTGTGACAGAGGATGGACCTCTGTGGAATCATTATCTGAGAAAGAATAGCTGTCAGCTTTGATCTTGCCCTTGGAATAGACACTGTTTTCTCGGTGAAATACATGTTGACCTGCTTCCAAATTCTTAAGAGGAACTGGGCAAGGACATCAGGTTTCTGAACAGGCTAACTGAGGCCTCTGTTTTATCTGTTTCACTACCTGTGGTGGCTCTGCTGTAATTTGTTTTCCTCCTTTCTACTCTATCTGAATATTTAGCACTCTCACACACCTACTTAACTTATTTTTTGAAAATATTGGTGTCTATTCTGCGTATCCTTAAAGGATATTCCCTATTGGAGTGATGGCTCCCCAGTCTAAACTGACCATTTTTTCAGGCCTCTTACTGGGCACTTAAGAAGGAAGGAAATGATCCATTTTGAGGGTGTACGTATTTCCTTCCTCCTTCCCTCCCTTCCTCCCTTCCTTCCTTCCTGCCTTCCTGCCTTCCTGCCTTCCTGCCTTCCTGCCTCTCTTTCCTCTCTCCCTCTCTTTCTTTTTCTGACTGGTAAAGTGTTATTTCCAGGTTAGAAATGGTAATGCTTTCTTTAACTATGGAGTGCTTCACCCTAGCCTTTCATTTCTACTTAAGGTATGTTGATGTTTGCTCCGAGGAGATTTTAGCAGAGAGAACACTACAACTGATTGTATACAAATTAGTGACTAATTGTGTAGAACTTAACTAGGCACTAAGTGAAATGATTTCAAGATGTTGATAATCAAACATTTCTTAGAAACTATTATGAACTTTCCACTGTTGTAAAAGGAATAAGTGTAAAGGAGAAGCTTAATGAGAATCTGCTAATTATATCAAGGAACTTTTGTTWTTGTTGCTGGTAATGGAACCCAGGGCCTCTAGCATGGTAAGTGCTGGTTTTTCCACTAAGCTTTACCCCCAGGTTCTAGCAACTTTGAATCTTGGATGAGTAGTTTTCCAAAATCAGTAAGTGGTTTGGAGAATAAATGAAGAGAATTTGGAGGAACATAAGCCAACTTTCTTATAAATTCTGACTAGTGATCCCTTTTATATCAGACGTGTATTAATCAACAGTTAATTTTTTTTTAATCTTTAAAAGTTAGTGTTTGTTTTCTTTCAGCAATTTCATCAGCCTTCCTTGAATGTATTAAATGCAGACTCATATTAATAAAATTAATAGAATTTTGTTTCAAATGGGGCAATAAGATATTATGCTTCTGTTTTTGCAGTGGGGTCATGAAACCTGGCCTTAATGCTATCATGGAATGCACAGGTGGAGGCAAATCTTTGTGAGTATAATGGAACATATAAGTCAGTCTTTGTAGTTTCAGTGTGCTTTTTATAAAATCACTTTGGTAGAAGCAGGTGTTGATTGAACCTTTGCTGTGTGTGCAATCTGTTTCTAGGTGCCAGAGATAACATGCAGTTGGGCTAGCATGTGGCTTTAATCCAAGGAACAAGAAATCTTATTAGATCAGCCTTGCTAAGCATGATTGTGTGATTGACATGCTACCATATTATGAACTAATGAGGAGGAAGAAGAGGAGAATGATATTAATTTATGCCTTTATACATGTACTTTTTTGCATTACAGTTCTAATGAACATACTTTATATACAGAGATACAAAAAAATTGTGCTCTATGTGTAATAAGAATTGTAATGCATTCTATTGCTGTTGTGTATTTAAAAAATAATAAAATCAATAAAAGATAAAAAAATAAAAAATGGGGATGGAGCAGAAAGAATAATTGAAGACATGAATTTAGAGAAAGGAGTGTGGGTTGGATCCATCAAGGTCAGASAGCCAKGAARTTCATTTGGAAGGTCTTTGATGGATAAACTGATGTTACCTTGCTTGTACATTTTGGAGCTTTCTTTTAACATATAATGTAAAGGAAGGTGAAAATTTAAATATACATAAATGTATATATATGTATATTTAATGTGTGTGTGTGTGTGTGTGTGTGTGTGTATATATATATATATATATATATATATATAGAGAGAGAGAGAGAGAGAGAGAGAGAGAGAGAGAGATATTTCTATTCAGCCATACAGAATAATGAAATTATGTCATTTGCAAGTAAATGGATGGACGTGGAGAACATCAGGCTAAGTGAACTAAGCCAGACTCATCAAAGGTTGAATGTATTCTCTCATATGCAGAAGCTAGAGAGGAAAAAGGGAATAAAAAAGGGATGTCACAAAAATAGAAGGGAGATCAGTAGAGATGGGGAATCAGGGGTTGAGAGGAGGGAAAAGAATGGAGTTGACCAAATGATGTTATAAGTAAGTATGAATACATCACAATGCATCCCAGTTTTGTATATAACTATGATGCACCAATTAAAAATAAATAAATAGGGGCTGGGGATATAGCTCAGTTGGTAGAGTGCTTGCTTCAAATGCACAGGCCCTGGGTTCAATACTCAGCACTAATAAATAAATAAATAAGAGGAAGATGAATAGAGTAGAGCAAGGAGATCAGGGGGCAGCAGGGAGGGAGGGAGAAAGGAAGTACTGAGGATTGAAATGATACAAATATATGAATATGTCAAAATGAACCCCACTATTATATATTCCTATAATGCATTGAAATTTTTTTGAATATTATTTATGTATATGTACACATATTACTTGTACAATTTTAGTTAACTTTTTTGACTAGTTCACTTTCTACCTGGAGGAATATTTGGATTCATAATAACTGAGAGATATGGCCTGTGTTGGGGGAAAACACAACATACATGTCTTTTTATAGATTTCTGGATGTCTTAGCTGCAAGGAATGATCCAAGTGGATTATCTGGAGATATTTTGATCAATGGAGCCCCTCGACCTTCTAATTTCAAATATAATTCAGGTTTTGTGGTTCAAGTAAGTATTGCAAGTCTGCCTTCTAGGTTTCCCCTACTTCTATGTGGGAAGTGCYTTGACTTATGATTTTGTGTGCAACCAGTTGGATTTACATGTTCAAGGAACGGAATTTATTTACACCAGCTTTTCACAATATTTGCTTAGATTGAAGGTGGAATAAAATGGAAAGGTGGAGAGGGCTTGTAAGCAGTGGTGTCAAATATAATTTTGGTATCATTTCCATAAGGGTCTGCTGTGGCCCTATTTGCCCTTCTTTCATCTCTTTCCTTCCCTTTGAAGATGCCTTTGTCAAATCTTCATATAAAGCAATCTGGATGTGTCTGGAAGTCATCATAATTACCTGTGCTCTGCCTGGGTTGCAGATGGGGGATGAAAATGCCTCCCTCCAGTCTGTGGCTGTCTTCAGATCACTGAAGTTTATGGATTTGAAAGTTCAACATTAGCTGGAACTTTACCTTGATTATATTGTTTTTATGGATTAAGATAACTACACTAAAGAGATGCTTTTAGAAAAGACTCAGTGTGTCCCATTGAAATCCCATCTTCCCCTTCAGGATGATCTCGTACTGGGCACCCTGACGGTGAGAGAAAACTTAGCGTTCTCAGCGGCTCTTCGGCTTCCAACAACTATGACAAAACATGAAAAAGATGAACGGATTAAAGTGGTCATTGAGGAGTTAGGTCTGGATGAAGTGGCTGATTCCAAGGTAATGTGAAAAAAAAAAACAACAGAATCAGACAGGAACAAGGACCTCCCTGTGTGGACCATGTGACCTCAATCAGAAGTTTCCTAGAGCATGTGAGGACAAAAGGGTCTGCTTTCTGTAATGATGAGAAAAGTGACTGGTTACATACTATGAAGGTGGAAATGGAGCTGGAAAAGCAATCTTAACCTTAGTGTGATCCTGGTGTGAATGGAGTGTGATCCCTGTGGAGAGTGCTCCTCATGGCCTTTTCCATGCTCCTCCACCCTCATTGTTCAAGTCACAGCTCTTTTGATGTCTTTGCACTGACTTTTCTTCTTTYTCTTCCTCCTTTTGGCTGCTCTTCTGCCTCTCTTCCTCTGGAGGATTTTGTTCAGTTGATTTTTTTTTAATATTTCTGGAATTCATAAATGACTAGAATCCAAGGATTCTTGCTGTTTCATACTGGTGTTAACTTGTTTTAAAATCTATATTTATTTTCATTAAGATTTACATTGAGGGGCTGGGGACATAGCTCAGTTGGTAGAGTGCTTGCCTTGCATGCACAAAGCCCTGGGTTCAATCCCCAGCACCACACACACACAAAAAAAAAAAAAGGAAAGAAAAAAAAATTACATTGAATTTTTGCAGTGACCAGGATATTTTTTCCATGGTTTCTTTGGCACTTTTGTTGCTCATCCCCTCCCTCACTCTCTCCCTTCTTCCCTTTTCTCTGCTGATCTTTATTTCCAGACTCTCATAAGCCAGGCTCTTTCAGGTTTGAGGAACGCAGTTGTCAGCAAGAGTAACAAAGTGTAAAGAAATGGACTCCTCCTTTTGCAGGTTGTGCAGGATAAGGGAAGAAAAATGAGATGAAAGAGTAAATTTTATAGTTGACCACTCCATATGGAAATTTTACTGATTGGACATTTGTAGATTGGGGTGATAATGAGCCTTGTAAAATGTGGCGACTCTGGATTAAGCCCCTGTGACCTGCTTCCTAGAGGCAATGGAGAATGGGGGTACCACTGGCTGCTGCTTTCTGTTATATTTGCTCATATTTTTTATGTGAAGTGTATTATGTTTAGAAGAATAACCCTATGATGCCATTATTTTCCACTTTTTTGTTTTTAATGAGTGATTGAATTGTCATTTCTTTGGCTGTTTATTCACTTTACTCTCTTTTAAAGGCACTCACTGCCTTAAGGTGCTTGCTTGGATTTCTAGGAAAAATATACAGAGGCACTATTGACTTATAATTCATATAATCTAACTGATTGAAATAATCTTTAATTTTTTAATGTTATATGTCATTTTAATCATTATAGAACTGTAGAGAAGGTCTGATTACTCTAATGATTTGATTTTTTGGATAATTACTATAATAATATAATTACAAATACTGTTCACCTAGATTTCTCAGTTGTTAACATCTTCTCCCTTGATTAGTACAGATATTTTTTTACTGAAATATTTTATATAATGTTATATGCCATTTCATCCTTGAGTACTTGCTAGGAATCTAGAAAAAAATAAGGATATTTGCCTACCTTACCACAATATAATGACCAACTAACAAAGTGAACAATATTTCATATCATCAGCTATGTCAAGCCCTTATTCATTCACATTTCCCAAATCCTCTCCAAAGACATTTTAGAGTTTAGTTATCAATAGATTCAAGCAAGGTCTGTGAGTAGCATTTGAATACTACCTCTTTGAAGACTCTTAATTTCAATATTATTTCCTACTTTCTGTCTCCCCAAACCTTCCTAGTCCCTTCACTACACAAATGAGCATTTAATGTTTGCAAAGATTGAGCCATTTGTCCTGTGGAATATCCCATCTTCAGGATATGAATATCCCATATTTTCTGCATATGTCTGAAAGTGTGATTTTAGAATTCTGCCGTGAGTCAGGGTGTAGACTGTACCCATTGTCAAAGCATTATGGTGATTGGACAGGTACTGATATGGTATGTTGGAAAGTGAACTTTCCTGTCTGAGTGCATCCTATTCTTGTAAGTCTACCTGGGGACTTTGGGTGGAAACAGGAGTGTTGATAAAAGACTAAAAGTTTACTACAGTTCCATTTCCTTTTCTCCTCCTATCTTTTCTTCTGTTTCAGACTATAATTTTACTGTTAGGGCCATTTCATTTTAGTATTCTAACTTCCTATCTTAAAACTAAATATTTGTCTTGGTGAGAAACATTCAGAACTGTTAAAAGCATGGGCTTCATATCAGGTCCAGCCAGTGGGCAGCTTCGCCCTGAGCCTCAGTTTACTCATCTAGTAAAAGAGAAACTTCCTCCTTCTCCCAGGTTCATTTACTTCCTGTTTCATAATGAGGATAGTGAGATAAAGTTCTCTAGCAAGATAAGCAGAGCTTAGCTCACCAAATGATAGTTAGATCATTGTCATTCTTGTTGATAATGTAATCATTTGTGTTTTAGGTTAGATCTGGAGAAGAAAGAAAAAAGACCAGTATAGCAATGGGGCTGATCACTGATCCTTCCATCTTGTTCCTAGATGAGCCCACAACTGGCTTAGACTCAAGCACAGCAAATGCTATCGTTTCACTCCTGAAAAAGTAAGTGCTATCGGAATATGGTTGTTTCATTAATTTAATATCTGGTCATGTCTATGTACCATGTATTCTTGGCGAAAGGGATTCAGAAATGAACAATATAACTTGTTCCTTCTTTCTTGAAAACAAATAGCAGGAAGTGATTAAAAGAAAAAAAAGTTGAAACAAGAGCATATGGAAAGATGGCCATGGTGGTCATGGGGAGCTGATTTAAATAGCAGGAGGGTCAGGGAAGATCACAACATGTGACGCATGAGCTGGGAGTAAATGAGTGAGACCAGCTGTATCTGCAGAAAAGAGTTCTAGTTGGAAGGAGTGATCTAGTGACCCCAAGATAGAGCATGCTTGATGTGTGTGGAGCATCAGAGAGGCCAAAGGGACAGAACCCAGTGACTCTGAGGAGTGGATATTGGTTTCTGCAGTGTCATAACAATACCACAAGCTGGGGTATGAGCAACAGAAATTACTTTTCTTATAGCTTTGGAGGCCAAAAGTTGAGGTCAAAGTGTCTGCAGGGCTGTTTCCTGTGAGGCCTGTCTCACTGGCTTGTAGATGGCCATGTGTGTCTCTTCATCTTAATCTCCTCCTAACTGGACACCAGTAAGATGAGGACCATCAACAATCTCATTTAATCTTACTGCCCTCTTTGAAGACTCTATAGACAAAGGAGCCACATTTTAGGGTACTGGGGTTAGGATTTCAACATATGAATTCTGGGGAGACCACATAGTTAGAATATAATGTGAGGTAGAGTTGGGCTGATGTCACACTGCATAGACCTCATAGACAACTGTCACTAAGGGATGTGAGAGCATTTTGAGAGTGTCAGAGCAGAGCAATGGCTGTGCAGTCAGTCCAGGGTGAGTGAAGGTTACCAGGGAGGAGCTGCTCATGGTGAGGAGAAAAGGGTATGGACCAGGACAGGGATTGAACCAGGATTCTCCTGGAGAGGTGGAAAGAAGACCTTGGGTTCTGGATCCGTTTTTAAGGGGAGTCAACAGGATTGACTCAGATATTGGATCTGGGTTATAAGGATTGGGAGAATAACTCCTAAGATTTGGACTTGAATAAAAGGAAGAAGAAGTAAATGAAATCATATTTTCTTTTTATCAAGAAAGCAGCTGTATTGAAAGAAAATAAAATTATGGCATTTGCAGGTAAAGGGATGGAGTTGGAGACTACCATGCTAAGTGAAATAAGCCAATCTCCAAAACCCAAAGGCCAAATGTTTCCTCTGATATGTGGATGCTGAACCATTATGGGGAGGAGGGACAGGGGAGGAATGGAGAGAAGATACAGGAAGATGGGATAATATTCCAATTGTCCTGTTTTGCTTATGAATAAGGAATCCTTAGCTACTTCTTTTATACGTTGTGTTGAAATCATTAATCATAGGGTCTGACTCTCTTGGAGGCAGAATAACTTAGGGTATCCTGATAGCATATGCTAGTTACTTAATCAAATGTGTAAATTGAAGTGATTTTTGTCATAAAATATTTTTAATAACAAGATTTCCCTTTACCCCCATACACTAACAACTAGATTTCCAGACAGGATAATCTTCCTTGGGAATATGGCTGCAGTAAAAATTTATAGACTAAGGTTCTCCCCACAAACAACTTACCTTTATCACCCTAAAGTGTTGACAAAACCATTCATATACTCTGACCATTCCAATTGACTTTTCATTTAGTCATATATCCCTGCCCCATTAATCATGAATGGATAGCTTCAAATTATCAAGTATTTTGTTTTTTTATTTTGAATTTTTAAAAAATTATATTTGTTCTGCTTAGATAAACTTGACAGTAGAGTGTATTTTCACATATTATACATACATGGAGTGTAATTTAGGATACCATTCTTGTGGTTGTATGTGATGGGGAGCTACACTGGTTGTCTTAATCATATATGAACACATGAAAGTTTTGTCTGTTTCATTCAACTGTCTTTCCTATTCTCATCCTCCCTCAATTTCCTTTATTCCCTTTTGTCTAATCCAATGAAATTCTATTCTTCCCTCCCCACCTCCCCTTATTGTGTGTTAGCATCCACATATTAGATAGAACATTCAGCCTTTTGTTGGGGGCAGGGTTTGGCTTATTTTACTTAGCATGATAGACTCCAGTTCCATTCATTTACCTGCAAATGCTATAATTTTATTTTTCTTTATGGCTGAGTAATATTACATTGTATATATATACCATATTTTCTTTATCCATTCATCTGTTGAAAGGCACCTAGATTGGTTCCATAGCTTAACTATTGTGAATTGATCTGCTTTGAACATTGATGTGACTGAGTCACTGTAGTAGGCTGATTTTAAATCCTTTAGGTATAAAAGGTTCTTAACAAGGAAAACATACACAAAAGCAAATAAAGGTGATATTTTTAATAACATTTTTAACAGTGATTTTGAACATTTTTTAACTATAAATAATAACTCCTGTGAAATGATAGTTTAGTACTGTTTCTGCCATGGGATAGATCAGACTTTAAATCTCAGCATTGTCCTTCAGTAACATTGTCTCCTTGGCCAGTCACTTGATCTTATTTAAATTATATCTGTAAATAGAAGGAGACAATAATATGGGAACTGTGTTATAACAACATTGTGAAAATTGAAAGAAGGTAGTAAGCACTTATTAATGTCAACTGAATTATCAGGCAAAAAGATGAAAACAATCCTAAAGAATCTGAAGATTTAAATGATCAATGAGAACTGGTCATATGATCATTATTTTAATATGTAGTACATATGTAGACCTGGACTGCTTGTTAAAAATATGGACACCCTAAACTCACCCTGAGAGATTCTAATCCAATATCTAGGAAGACTGTCCGAGAATCTGCATTGTCAATGAACTGTCTAGTGGATTCTAGACTGTTGTGTATCATCCTTAAGAGACCCTACGGTTTATTTTATTTTATTTTTTTATTTTGTGGTGCTGGGGATTGAACCCAGGGCCTTGTGCATGTGAGGCAAGCACTCTGCCAACTGAGCTATATTCCCAGCCCCAGCTCTAATACTTTAATGAAAACATTTAGTTCAGGTTCCCCAAGTGTCATGTAGCTAACATRAGATGAGAAGTTCATATGAGAAAAATCAAATTAAACTCTGGACAAATGTTTTCACCATACAATAAAGTATTTTATTAAGAAGGGCAATGTTCTGATATCTAATGACTCATTATTTTCCTTCCTTCAACTTAGCATTTCTGAACAAGGACGAACTATCATCTTCTCCTTCCGTCAGCCTCAGCATTCCATCTTCAAGCTGTTTGACAGCCTCACCATATTGGCCTCAGGAAAGCTAATGTACCACGGTCCTGCCCAGAAGGCTTTGGAGTATTTTAAATCAGCAGGTGTGGTTTTCAGGCACTAGATCCTTCCATCMTAGACTCCTGGGGGAGGACAGTGAGGTGGACAGGAGTGCTGCTTGGTCACTGCATAGACTAACGGGTGCCATCACTCCAAAACATTTTTGGTCAGTTGGTGTCAGGAGTTGTCTTCATTTTTCAGTGTTTGCTTATTGTTTAGGTCTCTTTCTTTCTTCTCCCCTCTTTGAGTATGAATGCATGTGTGTATTTGTGTGTGTGTGTGTGTGTGTGTGTGTGTGTGTGTTTCTTATGGGCCTACTTCCTAGTTATGGTGACCATTCCCTGAGAGTTCAATAATTAACTGGTTGGACTCACAGCCAGGCTTTTCAGCTGAACATTTTTGGAAAGACCCAGTATCATTCATTTTCTTCTAGACCATGCAACAGATAGTGATGTTGTTCTACTCTTATGAGGGCTCATGGAGATGCTCATTGTTTCCTAGTAATATTAAATTGACTTGAGTGGGTGTGAGTTATTATTAGCCACTGGAATGGCTGGTCCTAAGTTTGACTTGGGTAGGCAGATATTTCTGGGCTCCCACGTTTTCTTTCAGATTGAATTGTGTGATCTTTTTAATGGCTCATACAATCTGCTTCATTTTAGAAACATTTAGAAATTAATATAGATATTTCTTCATGACCCCAAATATAGTTCTAAACATTTACTAGCTATATTAATATTTTAGTTTATTCTCAGCCACTTACAATTAAGTATGTATAGGTTTGGAGAGTTCAGAGGAAATACTTAAGAGTCTGGTCTCAGGCCAAGTTTAGATAATTGTGCCGGAAGAAGTTGAGGTGAGAGTTTGGGTGTGCTGTGCTGGTCATGTTCTCTCAAGAATTCAGTTCTGGGAATTTATTGTCTATTTTGAATTATGGCAGTATGATATGATAATAATAATTTGGACCTCTGAATTTAATAGGTGGAGAAGTAATCTTGTTGACATGCATAGTGCCATCCCAGCATTTGCTTCATGAACTCAGAAAACACAATGAACCCAGGCATTTTTTTTCTTGTATCTAGATTTAAGAAGTACTGATAAGCATCAGTTGATCCCCATAAAAAAGACGAGGATATTATGTTCTAAACAGTCCAGGACTGGTTACACACACACACACTCACACACACACACGTGTATATGTGTATTGTATATGTATTATATATATGTATTATATATGTGTGCGTTTATGCACACACACAGGATTAAGAGACAAAGCATGTTGAAATATTATATGAATGAACAAGAGGAAAGTATAAAATATAAAGTGAGGTGAGAAGAAAGCAAGAACATGGCAGAGAAAATGTTAGATTTGTCTTCCCTAGCCTCACTTCCCTCACTCTCTGGAAGTGAGTAGTTTTTACTTTTCAAGCCCATCAGGTTGAGTTCTTTGGTTGCTTTGTTTTATAGGTTACCATTGTGAGCTCCTCAATAACCCTTCAGACTTCTTCGTGGATGTCATCAATGGAGACTGCCCTGCTGCGGTGACAGCTATGCAAGAGGAAGGGGGTGAAGGTATTGTGAATAGCTTAGATTCACAGGTCTTTGCCTGGTTGAATTGGCTGAAGTTTAGCAATGTGGTGGCTCGTTAAAACCTGGCTCTCTGAATTCCTACTCATGTGGTGTTGTGATTCCAGTTAACAGATAGACTTTCTTCTCCATAAGAGCTATGGATGTTCTTTATTGARTTTATGAATGACCACTTCTGTGCTACTCTCATTATAAAAGGTGTTTTCATTAAAAAGAAAATATGATAATTTTTACATATTTTTAGAAAAAGAAATTGAAACTCATACTTTTGCACATAGTAGAAAATAAGGACCAACTTTTTAAAAATTAAGACTTATAATTCTGTATGGTAAGGAGTCTATTTTAACGTTTAAGGTCCACATATTTAGGAAAAGGTCTGTGAGTTTGCTCTAGCCATAAGTTCCAGACAGAAGTCATTTTTTCTGATGTGTAGAGCCATGACAATGCTAGTGATTTTTCTATGCTTAGCTTTAAAATTTAGGTATTATCCATGAAAAGGATCACAGAAAAATGGCTTTAATTGTTTGACACCTATTAATAATATTTCTCTTTTTTGTGTGTGCTTTTATTCCAAAGCCAATGAGACTGAACAGCTATTAATAGGAAGACTGCCAGTGATCGAAGGATTAGCTCAGTTTTATAGCAAATCCCCCTTCTATAGAGAAACAGAAACTGAATTAGAGAGACTTTCAGGTGGCCAGCATGGCAGGAGCCCAGCCTTCAAGGAGATCACCTATGTCACCACCTTCTGCCATCAGTTCAGATGGATTTTCTGGCGTTCATTCAGAAACTTGATGGGTCGTCTTAAGCCCTGGGGAGTTGAGGTAATCTTAGAGATTCTTTTAAGTTTGCTGTAGAATATTCATGTGGATGCAATTTGGTTCTGATATAGTCTGCTTCAAGATAATGTGTATCTTCTACCCACCCTTCCATTTATTTGTCATCCTTACTCCATTTAGGATATAGAAGCAGTCCATAAAACACAATTAAGTTTTCACATCTAGAAAGGTGTTTTTTTTTCAGTGATTTCTTGGAATACATAACTCAGAATTTTGAACCAGACAAATTGTAAGGGAACATCTCAGTAAGAAATTTATTTTTTTTCAATAAATGGAAACTAAAGGCAACAGAATCCATTTTGGGGTTTTCTAGTATCTGTCTACTTTCATTCATTGATTCATTCCACAGCTTGAATGCAAGATCTTGAGTTGTATTTTGGGGAATCTAATATGGTAGTGGACAAAGGGAGTTAAAATGACAACCTCTGCTCTCATGGATTTTATTTTCATATGAAGACAGAGTGATGATGAGTGAAGTAATACAACACACAGCATGTTAGATTGCAGGAGGGACTATGCAACAAGTTCAGGCAAAATAGGGATAGAGAAGGGSAAGAGAGAGGGCAGGAGATAGGGAAAAGAGGGTTGGTTTGCATTTGAAATTAGGTGGTGAGGGAAAGCTAATGGCTTTGAATACATCTGCAAGTACCTTGGACTGTCCACTCTCTGAGGRAAGAGCCTGTATGCTAACTGTTTTCCTTGTAATTTCCTCCTCATTGAGAGATTCTAATGTTTGGAAAGCACTAAATATCTTGAAAAGTTTTCAGTTTAAGCACAGGTAGTAACCACACTTAACAAGGATATTCACTGTCCCATTAACTCTCTTATCTAAGATGTGATGACGTTCTTTTCTCCTTTTGATTGGCCTTTGGTCATTGTTGATTATTACTCCTAAAGGTTATTTTTCTTTTTTGCTATTCCCAACTCCTGTGTCACAATAAAAAGTTCATCAGTCCATCATTTATAAGGAAATCAATTTAGCTAGTTACTTGGAGGTTGTTATTTTTATTATCAATCATTGAGTTTGAGTACTGAAAGATGGCCTGTTATAGGTTCTACTGAACTGACTTTTTAACATAAGAACCACAGTTTTCATCTTTCAGTATTGTCACCTTTCAGGTGTATCTGAGAGCCTGTTCTTGTTTCAGTCATGCTGTCAGTTGTGCCACATGTTTTTGAACTTTTCATTTATCATTCTGTCAGAACATGGCCACTTTTGTGACTATTCATCAAGGGTAACATTTTATTCTCTGAGAATAGATTTGATGTTTTAGAATCATGCCAGGTAAGTTAGATCCGTTAACTTGGATCACCCATGGTTCAACAGTGGGGTGATATAAGGAGTTGATTCTTTAGTGTGTTTTCTGTGTGAGGTTTTTCGTACTGCCTCTAAAAATGATGGATCTGCCAATGTGCAGGACATTGTGTCTCATCCAGGACCCAAGTATGAGTTATGGGCAGGGCATGAATAGACCATGGCTACTTGGTATACACCAGGATTGTGCCTATTTGGGATCTTGGCTTCATTAAGGCACAAACACCAGGCCCASAGTCTCCAGGTCACCTGTTCAGCCTCATCAGCAAACTCAATCCCACAAAAGGAATTCCCACAATGTTCAGAGAAGTAGCCATCTCTAGAAGAAGGGTAGAACCTTGAAGCTCCTGGAGTTTAGCAGAACAACTCGTGTTAAAGTTTGTGAACACTGAAATGTTAGTGTAGGAGTAGGCAAACCCTTTTCAGTAAAGAGCCAGATGGTAAATATTTGGGCTTTGTAGGCCCCATCTGGTCTGTCTCATGTGGTCAGCCCTTCCAATTTTAACATGAAAGTGGCTGTAGCTCATACATAAGCAAATGAACACGGCTGGGTTCTCAAGAAACTGTATTCATGACTATGAAGTTTGAATTTCATACAAATTACATAGTGCAAAATATATTACCTTTCCCCCTCCCACTACTAAAAAAAGGGGTAAAAACCATTCTTAGCTCATCAACTTAAAAAAAAATAGGTGTTGGGCCCCATTTTGCTTGGGCCATAGTTTACTTGGCATAGGGTTTGAAATCTTGTATGATTTTTATTTCTCTAAGTATTGATCATAGAATTGTCAAAATATTTATGACTTCCTACTGATAAATCTTGTGTCTCTTGATGTATAGCTGTACTTTGGTTTGAACTAGATATATATATGACTTATACTTTATCTCTAACCAGAGGCTGTTTTTGGAAGATTGGAAAGAATGATGATCTTTATAAGATTTATTGTTCAATTATAATGTCAAACATTTCCTGATCAAACCAATTTGGAAGACTTGTCATTAATCTCTTAGAAAGTCGTTGTTTTCTATGAGCATATTAAACATTTGACTGTGGATTCATTTTGCTAGTAATTGCACAAACTTCTCTCAGAACATGTCTTGAGAAATACTCATTAAACACATTTGAAYAAAAGCAGAATAAAATATTGGGACGATTTATTTATCGAATCCTTCTGTTCAAAACTGAGACTGGCGGCCACATGCACAAAGCTCAGTCATTTGCTCCATTGTGCAATTTCATTTTCCTGGGTTTTTTTTCTTTCTTCATGTAAGAAAGAATAGCACAGGTACACTTTGAAAACCATGACATGATCATAGGATTCACTGATTTGCCAGTATGGTAGAAAACCGACTGAAAATAAAGAACAGGTGATGTGTTAGTATGATATCAGGTGTGGATGCAAAAGAAACAAAGAATGCAGAACCTCTGGATAGCAAGACTGAATATAAGTTATCCTGAGTGAAGTATAGACTGCTGTGTACCTGTGTGTCCTGCACATTGGCAAATCCATCAGCATATATTTTGGAAGCTCTTTCTACTGACATGAAGTGAGTGTATTCTGAGGGTAATGAAGACGTGTCAGCAGAATGAATTTTCCCCAAAATTTCTGTCTTATGTTGAAGGAAATCTTATGAGTAAAACATTTAAATAATGACATTTCCAAACTGTGGTCTTCACAAACCAGCTTTTTCAGATTATGATTTAGTTTTTCTATTCTGGCTTGCTGCCTGCCTAAAATATTCTTCACAAACCATTTCATGTGTGGATACAATTGTAATATTGAGTATTTTTTTAACTTTGAAGTTTTCAAGATATATGGTAGGGTATTTTGTTGTCTCTAGACTTCCAATTTCCTACATTTTTATATTTAACTTGTGAATCATTAGATGTGGAATTCCTCAAATAAAACATGACAATGTGACCCTTAACCTTTTGTTGATTCAAGTATCCCTGAGATAATTTTTATCCTTAAAACAAAAGTGGTGCTGGCCCAGTAACCTTGGGAGTTGTACACAGACTGAGTAGGTGAGGATGGTGAGGAGCTGTTAGCTCAGGTGGATGTGTTGACTATAAGCTTCACTGGCTGAGGTTGAAGAGAAGCAGACAGAGGAGATGGTAATGAAGCACTTGGGTGTCCCCAGAGAAAACTGGCTGAGTGCTTTGGTGACCATGACAATACAGTTTCCCATGGAGGACAGAGGTTGAATAGGTGGGAGCCAACTTACAACTAGTCTTTATCATGAAAAATACCATTGTCAAAATTTGTGTGTGTATGCTTTTAAAATGTTGTTTATTCATTTTGTGGTGCTGGGGTTAAACCCAGTGTCTCACACATGCTAGGCTAGCATTCTCCTGCTAGCCCTGAAATTTCATATAAATGTAATTTAGTTATTTATTTTTGTGGTTATAGGGATCGAACCCTACTAACTGAGCTACATCCCCAGCCCTCATTTATTTTTAATGAGTGTAAAGTCATCTTGTTTTCAGTTGAACCTCTTGAAGGATGAAACTATCTATGCATGTGCACTGGCACAAAAGTTRAGAGTTCCATTCAAGACTGAACTCTTACCCACTTGGATGTTAGTTTGTTCCCCAAGTGATTTTCTGCACCAGTCTGCCATACTGTGTAGCATTTGCATGTCCAGTACTAGAGCTGGGGCTTGGACTGGCCATTCCTGGTGAACACTGGAGGGATTTCCGCCTGTCCAATAGTCTGCTCTATTTTCCTGTCAGTTCCCCAAACGTTTTTAATTTGGTTTGGAAAGTAGTCTAATAAACACACATAATTTTATCTTCTCCCAAGGTTTGACCAAGTCATATAAAGTGTTTATCTTCAGAGAGGGTTCTGATTATGTAGACATTTATTGAATCATAATAAATGATGTGGAAAGCTGGGTGTAGTAGCACAAGCCTATAATCCCAGCAGCTCTGGAGGCTGAGGCAGGAGAATCATGAGTTCAAAGCCAGCCTCAGCAACAGAGGGGCTCTAAGCAATCCAGTGAGATCCTGTCTCTAAATAAAATACAAAATAGGGCTGGAGTGTGGCTCAGTGGTTGAGTGCCTCTGAGTTCAATCCCTGGTACCAAAACAAATAAACAAATAAATGATGTGGAAAAATTTTTACCTGTAATTACAACTCTATTTTCATTTTTCTTTTGGAAAAGATATTCATCATATTTATGCTGGGACTGTTAATAGGTGTCACTTTCCTTGGACTAAAAAATGATTGTACTGCAATCCAGAATAAGTAAGTAAATTTAAATACTGTTACATTGTTCAAGCTTATAAAGAGCCAGTATGAATTTGAATTTATACTAAGAATGGGATAAATGTCATTGTTTTATTGGGGGTGGAATGAGAACATTGCAAACTGAGTGGAAGAGTTAATTTCCTTTTTTTCAAAGGTATGTATGTAATGGCAAGTAATATACAACATAAATGTTGACCTTTTATCCATTTTTAAGTGTATAGTTCAGTGGTATAGTTGCATTCACATTGTGCAACTATCACCACCATCCAGCTCAAGAACATTTTTTCATCTTCTCAAATGGAATCTTCATAGCCATTAAAGAATAACCCTCCATATCCATCAATCCCAACCCCTTGCTACCACCTTATAATTCTGTCTCTGAATCTGGCCACTCTAGGATCCTCATATACATGGACTGATACAGTAGTAGTCCTTTGATACCTTATTTTCTTTAGCATTATGTCCTTAATAATCATCTAAGTTGTAGCACATGTTGGAATCTTTTTTCCATTTTAAGACTGAATAATAGTCCATTGAATATATACTACCTTTTTTATTATTCCTCTGTTTCTGAGAATGTGGGTTGTTTCCACCTTTGGGTTGTTAATAATGCTGTTATGGGTGTACAAATATTTGTCTGAATTCCTGATTTCAGCACTGTGATGTAGGCACCTAGCCTTGTTGGATCAAATGATAATTTTAATTTTTTCAGGAATTGTTATGCTGTCTTCCACTGCAGCTGCACCATTTTACATTTTTACCTGCAGCACATAAGGGTTCCAATTTCTCCACTTCCCCACCAGAATATGTTATTTATTTTTTTCTTTCTTTAAAAAAAATAGATGTCCCCTGGATCTTTGGAGAAATATTTATTTGAATTCTTTGCTAATTTTCAAATTGGATTATTTGGGAAATTTATTGTTGCTATAGTTGTGTTGTAGTTTTTTATATTCCTGTATTATGAATCCTTTATCAGATACATAATTTGAAAATATTTTCTTCCATTCTGTGGGCTCTCTTTTCACTCCATTGATAGTGCCTTTGATGCATAAATGTTTTAAATTTTGATGTAGTCCAGTTAGCCTATCTTTTTTGTTTGTTTGTGAGCCAGTTTCATTGATATGTTTTAATTAGTTTGACTTGAGAATTGTGCTCATTTCTGCCCAGCTGTGCTAGGGAAGAGGGATAGAATGTTTAGAGAGTAGGGAAGATACCCACAGATGTGACAGAAGTTATACAGTTTATTCAGAAATACTTGTGGGGGAGGTCCAGTTGCAGTGGGCTGGTGTACCTCTGCTGCACTCAGTGCTGCTGGGACTTCACCAGAAAGTAATGCCTCTTATTTGTCTCCACACTGTTCAKTGGTGGCTGCCTGATGAGCAGCTCACTCCCCCCTGTGCTCTGGTCTGCAACAGTTATTGCAGGGAGGCAAGTTGGATAGGTGAGGTTATAGAAGCAACTACAGTACCAGCATTAACTTACTTTTCTCCTTGTGTTACTATTGTTACTTGGGGTTGTCTTGTGTACTCAGCTCCTGTGTTCTCACCAGAGAAGATTTTAAGCAAGTTACAAAACATAGTAAAAGTTTAACATATTTTACTAAGAAAGAAAGCACCCCCAAGTAACATGATAAGTTTTCTCAAAGATGATGAGTTTTCTTGACCACTTGATTTTATTGGTTTATTTATTGAGCTCAATTTTTAAGGGGAGAGAGGGAAAGTTGTTTAAAAAGTCCCACCCACGTATCATTCCTCAGCTGTGATGTACAAACTACATTAGATTGCTAAACCTCTACAGGGCATGCTTTTATCTATGGGCATTTAAGTGAAACCTGAGGGAAGAGGGAGGCTATAATCACAATGATATTATAATGATATGCTAACAACAGAAGTACAACTCTGTCATACTGGCCTGGCTGACAGGTTTTAATTGGAACTTGTTTTACAGAACTTTTGGTTGGTGGAATCTTGTCTTAATCATCCTGCTTTTCTATAACTTGGAATCTCTGGTCTGTGTAAAGGTGTAAAGGTCTCATTTCCTCCCAACCAGACCTGGATCAGGATAATTTGTGTGTGTCTCTTTTCTTGCATATATATATATATATATATATATATATATATATATATATATATTTAAGTGTAGATGGACACAACACAATTCCTTTATTTTTATGTGGTGATGAGGATCAAACCCGGGTCCCTCCTGTGCTAGGCAAGCGCTCTACCGCTGAGCCACAATCGTAGCCCCTGTGTGTCTCTTATCTACAGAAGAGTCTTTGTATACCCATCTCTTAGCCCTGGGAATAACTCTGGCTGGCCTTGGGTAAATTTTTTCTTAAAGAAAACATGTGAGGTGTTAGCACTTAGGCTCAACATAGGAATTAACCTCTTAGCTGCTTATGCCCACCACCCATGTCTATCTACCATCTATCACTTGCAAGACCAGTATCCCAAGGAATAACTGTCAAGGAACAAGAGTAAGAAAGTAACTTTCAACAGGTAACATTAACTTGCCCTAATTCCCAGCATAGGTGAGAGAGAGCCGGGGCACCTCAAGAATACATTCATACACACACACACACACACACACACACACACACATATATAATTTTTTTGGCTAGGGCGGTTCTCATTGTTCTAACTTGTTTTTTGGAACAAAAAGGGATTAAGTGTATAGAAATGGCTTTAGTGCCCTCCTTTTTCTTTAAGGATGATATACAAGCATAGGATAGGCGGGTAGGATTTGAGATTTCCTGTTACATGGATAGTACTTAGGTCAGTGCAGTGATTGTTACCTATGGAAATGCCCTTAAAAATTTCATTTCTTGATGAGACTTTTTAATAGCTGTGTCTGAACATAAGTGCTCAGCAAAATGTCACGTACCTCAAAAACTATGGAGGCACCACTATGGAGATAGAAGTGGGGAGAGACCCCGTGGAGTCACATGTACCTGTTTTAACCTGTATTTTTTAAAAAGTCTATTTAATGTTATATCATTACAGTTATAAAAGTTCTGGGGGTAAAACCTTCCCTAATGGTATTGAATTGACAGTAGGGCTTTTGTTCCTCTTCTGCAGAGCCTGGTCACTCTATGTGCTAACTGTCTTCCAATGTGTCACGAGTGTCTCAGCCAGGGAGATCTTCCTGATGGAGAGAGATCTTTTTATGTGAGTAGGTTTCCACTCTGGGAAGTAGCATCAGACCCTCTGGTCAAACTGATAACATTCACAATTGAGCCGAGAATATAATCTGGGAATATTGTTTGGTTATAGTTAAAGCTTCATCCCGGGGTTTCTTAAACTGACTTCCAGACCACTCATGTATAATTGAATCAAGCCTTTATTGTAGCATACCGATGGCAGTTGACCAGAACATAAAGCTGTTCCCCTGATCAGCCCCAAACAATTTCAAGGGCACTCTTTATAAGCCTGAAAAACACAAAAGGGATGTTAGGGGTCCAGCCAATGCAAGCAAGCCAGGTTACAGAAGTGGGAGAGTGCAGTCAAGCGGCGGGAAGCCTAACCAATCACAGTTATCCCAGTCACCCCAGTTACAGGAACAGAGCCCTGTTACCCTAGTTACAGAAACAATGCCCCATTAGGTAGTTCTGCATTCTTAAAGGTTTCTATAGCAAAAGGAAAAGGACATCTTGCCCTGGTCATGGCCCTTCTACTTGGCATGGTTGTTTTACAGGATGAAGTCATAAAACAAAATGGAGTCACATTTGCTTCTGCTATCACAGTTTTATTTCTTAGTTCGTTTAACTGACAAATGCAAATTGTATAGACATGTAAAGTGCAATATGAGCTTTTGAAGTCTGTATAGGGATTGCTAATATTAACGGAGAAGAGGCACTCAGGGATGGACTGGAAAATCAAGAGTTAGTGGGGCCTGCTACTGAGGGAAAACAGAGTTTCAGTGTTAGATGTGGTCAGTGAATTCCAGTATTACAGGGAAAATAAGCAATAAAGGGGCTGAAATTACCTTTTTCGTTTTTAGCAAGTAACAGGGTCATGATGGCACCTGTGGGAAAAGTTTAAGAAGCTTGGTAGAGATTTAATGCAAATCRGAGGTGGGAAGTAAAAGTGATAAAGAATTTAAGAAAGTATAGTCCTTGGTGGATGAAGGAGTAGAAGTGGCCAGAGGGCAGCCTTCCAGTAAAGAGCTGGCTGGTTTTGTCTCTTCTGTTTTCAAAGATGGAAGAGATTTTCCCATACTTACATTCCAAGGGCAGGAATCATCAGAGGGAAGGAATGAAGACACTGGTGGAAGAGTTTGGAATTTCAGGAGAAAGATATCAGGAAGAAGAAAGATGAGGATTTGGTAGCTGACGGGGTGGCACATTTGAGATGTGATCATTGAAGGAAGAAGACTTTTTTTTTTTCTTTTGTAACATGAAAGTAGCAGAAGTAAAAGGATTTTAGGGATGTGCACTTACATTAAGGCTTAGGAAAATATCAGTGTCACATTCTTCACATTCAGAATTGGGGAGAAGAAAAGCCTGTGCTGCCACTGAGATTGGGCCCTGGAGTTCTGCTATTCAGACAGCCTTAGAGGACAAGCAAGGTCTCAGAGGAGAGTGAGGAGATGCAGACTGTGTCCCTGGAGGGGTGATGTGCACTAGAGTGGGCGGTGGCAGGAGGGGTGCTGTCATGAGAGCTTCACAGCAAGAGCCTTGAGGGGCTGATGCCCCAGGGAGGCTGCACCTGAGGAGGAGAAAGGCATTAACCAGGGATCATCCTGGAGCCTATTGGCACCTACAGTGTCAGACCTGGAGGCAGCAGGAGTCTGCACAACAGCATCTCATTTGGGCTGTGCCTTCTTGGACTAATCTGGGATGTGTGGTATGTGTTTTTGTTCTGTAGACTTGAGTACATCAGTGGATACTACAGAGTGTCATCTTACTTCCTTGGAAAACTGTTATTTGAGTTCCTATTCAGGAGGTTTTTTCCAAGTTTTATATTTACTGTTATACTATACTGGATATTAGGTAAGTAATAAGACAAAGATGTGTCTTCAGTCTTAGCTATGAGCTGATGCTAATTTCTAATTTCTCTTTGTAAGCATGTTCATGGTTCTCCAAACTGCATACCCAGCCAAAAGCTATTGAAGCATTGTATCTTCTCTAATAAAGCTGCTAAATGTGGGCCTTGTTCAGATTTTTTCTAAACAAACTTTTGTGCATGTGTGCGGGAGGGGTGTACTGAGGATTGAACCTAAGGTATAAGCTCAGTAGGCAAGTGCTGGACCATTCCATTTTAGTTTTACTTTAATATGAGACATTTTAATCTTGGTAAATTTCCAGGCTAGCCTTGAACTTGTGAACCTGCTTCCTTGTTCTCCTAAGTAGCCTGTTTTCAGGTATATGCCCCCTGTAAGCAGTCCAACAAACTCTTATTAAAACTACATTTTATTGAGAAATGCTGTGTGTCATATACAAATATGGAGGGAATTTATAAAACTCTTTGAGATTGTGCTAGAGGAACTGGAATATTTATTGCCTATTTATCTACATTTCTTCTCTGTATCTCTACATATATCTCTATATGGAGATAAAATATAGATAGGTAGGTAATATCTCTAGAATCCATAGAGATATGTTGAGAGGGATAAATAATCAACACACACATACATTCTCTCCCTGTCTCCTTCTATGGTGAAAGAAAGATAGTGACTTTTAAAGAAGGTTAATTTAATAAAAATACTTGTTTGCAGATATAGACAGATGTTTGTGCATTATGCTCAGGTTTCCTTCCAGTTTAATTGCATGAATATTTCCATCTCTCTCTCTCTCTCTCTCTCTCTCTCTCTCTCTCTCTCACACACACACACACACACACACACGTGCACACATAAACACAACAGAAATATCTATTTTTGACAACACATGAGAGTAAGAACCATTGATAGAGCATAAATCTTCCACATTACAAATAAAAATTGCATCTAAAGAATGTGTCATGATAACTAAACCCCCAGACTCCTGTTTGGTATTCTTGAAGCTGTTTTAAAATCTTCACACTATATGACCCAGAACATTAGCTTTATTACCATTTATAAAGTAGTTGCTTAACCTAACCCATTCTCTATCACAGAGCCATGTGATCGTTTGTCTAGGGAAGTCTTCCCTTATGGAGAAAATCTCTCTCCATTTCCCAAGATACTCAATCCACTTGTGGAATCCCAACCCCAGTTTCTTCAATAATGCAGTTGCAGCAAACAGTGAACAGTGTGGAGATGTCTGGGTACATGAATATGCTCTTGAGTCTCCTTAGAATGTAGAATTTTAGCCATTTGTGTTGCCTGTGTCTCTCCACCTCAGTATCCACCTCTGATACTGTTCATAATTACATGTAAAGGAGAGTAGGTGTTACATGGAAAGGTCCTTCATCAGTAAATGTACAAAAGAACTGTGATAACTTTGTGCAGTTACAATGAGGGAAAAAATGAAGTGGTGAATCATGATAGTTGGGTCATGTTTGTCTTTTTTTTTCATTCTGATATTGGTTGATTGGAAAATTGTAGTGTTCTTTGCATGCTGAACAGTCTGAAAGACAAGGTGACCTAGACAGCTGCACTGACCCCTTCTTTTCTTTCTGAGGGCTGAAACGGGGGATAACAGCTTTCCTCATCACAACGATTACCACTTTGATGGTGGCTTATTCCACCACTGCCATGATCCTGGCTATAGGAACACGTGAGAATGCAGCATCTGGAAAAACACTTCTGGTGACCGTCTATTTTGTGTTTATGCTGGTGAGTGGGAACTGTGCTTCTGTGAGAGAGAATTTTCACCTTGTTTCTTCATGCACATTCACCTTGATAAATTGGAACTTGATAATCCAGAGGAACTATCATTGGCCCATTACCTCATAAAAAAGACAAGTTACCTGCCTGCCTTTGATGCTGGTATTAGAGATTTGCCAGCTGTTTACCCACAGCAKAGATGGTTTGGTTGGACTCACTACTCTCCAAGATCAGAGCAAAGCTTCAGGAGTGTGCAGCATGAGGAGTCTAACTTGAGTTTTAAAAATAGTGGAAAATGTCCAAACCTATATATTAGGCTTGGGTTTCCCCCCAGTTTCATTGCATTGAATATTTCCATCTCTCTGTCTCACACACACATAAAAACACTAGAAATATCTATTTTTGACAACATACCAGAGTAGGAACTTAAATCTATAGGTCAATTATTTCTGGATTCCTGATGATCTCTTATATCAATATTTTTTCTGATCTTGTTTTGTTTTCAATGGTTACTTAATGGTTAAGTTCTAATCTTACATGGCCCTAAAGTTTGCACTCACAGTGATGAATCAACAGGTAAATGGAACTACTTACCACTATGAYATGAACTAAACAGGAGTGCCTAGCCATTAATACGTCCTTTCTGCTACAGTAGGAAAAGATGCCTTTCAGTGATGCATAATTAGTAAAAGCACTTGCCAAAGTTTAATTCTTTCCTTTCTAGATTTGGCAACTACCAGTGTATATCACTGAGAAAGTATTGTCTTATTTATATTTCCTATATTATCCTTCAGTAAATGAAGTGTTCTTCAATAAATTAAGATGTTTTGTTTGCTTCATTTGGTGCTCTGACTGATTAACTTGTAAACATTTCTATGTGGCAGTTTAGAAACCGATCATAAAACCACATTTTATTTAGAGATGCTGTTGTATACTAAGCACATTGGAGTTTTCAAGAATAAATGTGTAGGCACAGCACAGCACCGGTCATTGTTTTGCATATCACAAGGCACCTTGCACCAGTTGAGTCAAGTGTTCTGTGTTCCTCAGAGGTGTCTCTTTTTTATCTTGAGCATTCTCTCTTGTCACCTCCATTGTCATACTGCTTTCTGTTAGCTTTAGATGAATGTATTGACTGGGGTTTCTGCTGTACTCCACTACATTATCCTCTTTATCAATTTTAGGCTTTGGGTTTCCTTAAGCCTGCATTCTGAACCCCAAATTACTCCAAAAGTCATGGATATACTGCACAGACCCTTGTGAATAACAAATCATATCATATGGAAGTAGAGAGGGATATGTGATGCTCAGGATCTCTGGTATGTTCCTAGATGGTCAGCTTTATTAGGAGAACAGATAGTGGTAATGCAATGTCAATATTCAATGTAGCCAGCCCTCATATCTATGGGTTCATCATCCAAAGATTCAACCTGCCACAGAAATATTACAAAACAAAAATTGTGTCTGGACTGAATATGTATAGTTATTCTTTTCTCATCTAAGCCATAATGTTTAAACCACATAGCATTTACATTGTGTTAGGTATTTACATAAGACATGGAAATGATTTAAAATATGCAGGATGTATATATTTACAGCATAAAGAATGTACCTAGGTTACATATAAAACTATGCCATTTTTAAAATAAGGGACTTAAGCGTCTGCAAGTTTTGGTAACTGTGGGTGAGATGGTGTGTCCTGGAAAAAATTCCTCAGATACTAAGAGATAGCTGTATTTCTTAATCTTCCATTGTGTGTAGTTACAAAGAAAGCTGATATCATAGTCCTGATAATTAAGAATCCTCCAAATAAGTGAAACATATTATATAGATTATAGGCTTATTTCCACAAATCTTCAAAATAATTGAAACATGTAATATAGTTTATACATATATTATCCTTCCTTTAATATCATAAACTGCCTCATTTATGCAGAGGCATAGACATGCAAAGAACAAAGATTATTGTTTAGAGTAAATGGAAAGAATTTCAAGAAAGTGTAGATCTTAGCAGAGATGTTTTTAGAAGGTTGTGGAGTTCTTGTAGAGGGCCTTGCCCAGGGTTCCTCATGAAAACACTAAACCAGTTCTGATACTTGGTTTTTCTTTTCATAGGTTTTCTTGGGTATGTCATTGAATTTTGAAACCATGGCACCTCAGCTCTCCTGGCTTCAATACGTCAGTATTCCTCATTATGGCTATATGGTAAGTTGTCTTCATCTGCCATTGTGACTGGGTTCCTAACCTGGGAACAAACAAAATCAAGCCCAACCCTCTCATTTCCAATCCATGAACTGTGACTGTCTACTATCCAGGAACTGTCTTTCAGGAACAATGCATGAATATTTCCTGTTAGCCKTGGTAACCACAAGGTCAGGGATTCATCTGAGGTTTTTCTCAGTCACCTCATTGTTTGAGGGAGATGAAAGGTGAAAAATATTTTCAGAATAAAAGAAGGGTGGGAGGCTGGAAAACAGCTTATTCTAAAAGGCAAATTAGAAGAGAAACAAAGACCATGAAGTACTCATAGCCATATTGGCTTTGGCAAGTTAATTGGCTCCAAAGAAAGCTGTGTCTTAACACAGTACAACCAAATTTTTAACTACCAGACTTATAACTGGTTTTGATTGAAACAAACAAGAAAAGATCATTACCATAAATCAACAATATTCATTAAGCACCATTGCATTATTTGGAATACATTGTTTGTGGGGTTAAAATATTGGGAAAGAAGAAAATAAATAAGCGGTAATAACAACCAGAAGTCTTTCTTCTTGGCCAATTTAAAACATCACAACACTAGGCCTTTTGAGGATTAATCTGGAGGATGTAACTGAGATACTTCTTTAGCACTTTTGTTTTTCTCTTTTGCGGTACTAGGGAGTGAACCCAGGCCCTTGTGCATGCTCAGCATGTGCTCTAACACTTTGCTATATCTCCAGGCCCTTTTTCTTTTATCTTGACACAGGATCTGGCTAAGTTGAGTTGCCCAGGCTGACCTTGAACTTGCAATTCTCCTACCTCAGCCTTTGAAATTTGAAAGTGTTTACCTTGTCCTGTTCCCCCTTGTATTACAGGCTTTGCAGCATAATGAATTTTTGGAACAAAATTTCTGTTCAGGACCCAATACAACAATGAGCAACTGCGGTCCCAGCTTTTTGATGTAAGTTTGTGTTCAGTGTTCTAAAGGATTTGATTACTTTCTACTGTGGTGTGATATTGAAAGTCTCCTGGGCTTAGAAAAAATTTGAGTCCTTCCAGGGTCAACAAGAGTTTCTGAATCTATGTTTTCTCACTCTTAAAGTAAGCCATGGTGCACTGGTAATGCATGGGAGCATGCTGTGTATGTATTTGACTGCAGTCAAAATTGTATTTAATGTGGAGAATTACCTGTTTTGAGCTTTTGAAAGATTGATATTTTAGTTGTGGTTTTGAATTAACAAGAGAAAAGAGAATGCCAGTGTGTTAAGCTCATAGATTTTCCAAATAGTATTAAAATAATTCTTAGTAATAACAAATTTTTATTATTAATTACTGATAGGAAAAATTATGTGAAAATTTTCTTTCTTTCCCCCTTAATCCTGGTTTGATCTGGGTGTGACATCTTTGTAACACAAAGTCAGTGGCACATTGCTGGTCAGGATGAAGTGTATGGGAAAAGAAGGACCAAATAAGGAGCCACCATGGGCTTCACAATTACATAAGGCTCATCCTCACAAGGGGAAGGAGGAAGCTTCTCTTCAGCAAAGAGAGGCCATTGATGTTTTTGAAACTTCTAAATTTGAAGAGATGCACAGAGTGGCAGCAGGCAATAATTGTGGCTGCACCACGGTTTTTTTTTTTTTTTTTGTAACAGCTGTTTTTCTAAGCTGTGGCAAGAACACTTCATCCTGCTCTGCTTCAGCTGCTTTTGTAACCTGTAGCAAGACATTGCATCCTGCTCTGCTCCAGCTGCTACTTAAGATCCTACTCTGATTCCTGGCCCTGAGGGTAGCTTTCTGTAGCTCAGTATCTGTGATGCTCATCACAGTCTTGGTGCAAAAGCCTCCAGAGTATAACTCTGGCTGCAAGCCTTTGCTCCTCTCTGATCCTAGTTTTATAATTCTTAACCTGTGTTCTTTGAACGGCTGTCTTGTGAGAGGAAATATGGGGATCTTTGATCATCTTAGCAAGGGCCACAGGTGTCATCAATTAAAGCTGAGGGTTCCCTACCAGGAGTATGTGAAAAATTATCTGAACAATATTTCCTTTGAAGAGAGTAGCATTACAAATTTGGAAATTAGTTCATCTTTGGAGACTAGAAATTTGGTTCATAGTATGACTGCAAATTTGGTTTAGGTTGTTAATCCTAATTTTCCTCTTTAAAATATGTGTGATATCAATACCCCTTTAGATTTTTTTAGGGTTTAACTGAGTGTTTAGATGCAAATTGCTTGGCATGGTATCTCGAAAAATTGTAACCATTTAATGATTGTTAATTATTAGATATGAAGGGATAACGCCTGGTTAACTGTAGGCTTCTTGGAAAAAGAAACAGTAAATATATTGAGTAAAATTTCACAGATACTAGGAATGAAATTGTAACTTTATTTGTGTTGAATTTCAGATGTACTGGCGAAGAATTCTTGATAATTCAGGGCCTCAATCTCTCACCTTGGAGCTTATGGATCAACCATCTGGGCTTGGCTTGTATGATGTTTTTCTTCCTCGGAATTGCCTATCTAAAAATGTTATTTCTTAAAAAACATTCTTAAATCCCTCTTTAATTTACTATGAATTACCCTCACATTAAAAAAAAGAGAACCTTGATTTATTTTAAATACCCAATAAAGATTTTATATTATTTTCTGACCAGTTGCGATCAACAATTATTTTAATTAGAAAAAATTCACAAAAATCATAACAAGCCATATTTTACGTGACAGAACCAAGCAAAATACTGATGCTATTATGTATTGTATAATAGTTTATCTCATGAGACAGGAGTGGAGAAGAAATCTAGTCTAATTTATTGACCTGAAAAAGAGGAATTGAATTTCAGAAACTCTTGACAAGTTGCCAACATCTCTGATATCAGTTTTCTCATCTTTTTAATAAATAGGGAGATTACTATCACTCCAATTTTAAAAGTTTGTGACTGTGTAATTTTCTATTAATTAATAACATATATGTTAACATCTGAAGAGATCTCAAGATGACAGAGGATAGCTGAATTTCCAATTGCTCCTTGGCTTGGATACAAGCAGCAAGGTAGGTGAAAAGGGGGAATTCACTGAAATTCAGTGTTGTACAGTCAGAGTCTCATAAAGACTCAGAATTTTGAGTGCATTGAAGAAAGGATAAAAAAAATCATTGGATTCAGGCTCTTTGTAGAAGTTGCAGTGTACCTAGTTCACCATGGAAAGGAGGGAAAATACAAACAGAAACACAATGGACCAATTTGTCAAGGGAAAAAATTCCTAGATCAGAAAAACAGTCTGAACTTAGCTGGTTCAGAGACTACACAGCAAAATGGCATTTAAAAATGATCCATTTTGTAAGTGGAAAGCGGAGAGCTGAGACTAGAGCCATTTTGAAGAGTTCATGCTGCACCTTCTGCTACCGGAGCATTGGAGATTGTAACAAATACTGCCATACTGTCCTGGAGAGCATCTACTGGGTGGTCTAGGGTTTACCTAGCAGAAAGTGATTGAAACAGGCTCAGAAAAGATTATACCCAGGGAATTCAAGTAAGAAATATGGAAAGGAGTGCTATTTGCTTTCCTTTTGAGTCTGGACATTCACATGACTAGCTGAAGGGGACTGGGAAATTGAACAGGTGGGTGTGAATACACTCAGATGCTAAACCTATTAAAGGCATATTTGTGGGCAGCAGAGTGAGTGTGCCTAGAAGTGGGTTGGCTCCCCTGCCCTATAAATAGAATTCTTGGGAAGCTCATGACATCCAGACTCCAAGCAGAGACTGGCATCTAGAGGTGTGTTGATATAATCACTCCAGAGATTATACCACCCTTCAGAGTCACTAAGTCCTAATTAGACTAAGTCCCAGCTGCTTAAACTGGTAAGAAGAAAAGCTGAACGCCATCTCTACCAGCTTTGGTTTTAGACCTCTCCAGCTGACAGCTACATGAGCAACAAAAAGAGGAAGGGGTTAACAACCCCCAGACCTCCCTCTCCCTCTCTCTTTTCCTCCCTTCTCCCTCCCTCCATAACCCTAGAAGAAATGAATAGTGAGATAGTTGGACATAGGTAGTGACCATTTAGCCTCATTGACAGTTTTGAATGCTTCAGTGAAGACAGTTCTTTCATTTTTCATTTAGAATATTTTCTTTTGTTTTTTTTTTGTATTCCAAAATAATAGTTTATTTTGTTCATTGTACATGATTGGTGTTTAATAAAAATTTATCAAATGAGTGAATATTTTTTAAATTTAATTTTCAATGTCTTACATGTTTACAATTGCTAAGGAATTTTTTAATTTTCTTTTTTGGTGTTCTTGCTGTGCTGATTGGTTCATGGATATATATACATGTATTTGTTTCTTTTTTCTATTTTTATAATAACTAATTTTTCCTTGTCTTTGATGGTAGGATTTTTGTTCATTTTGATTTTGTTTTCTTTTTATATTTTTTCTCCTTTCTTCTCTACTAACAAAATTCTTTCTTTTTCACTTTACTTTGTTTTCTATTATTATTATTATTATTATTATTATTATTATTGCGGGGTAGGTACTAAGGATTGAATTCAGGGACACTCAACCACTGAGCCACATCCCCAGCCCTATTTTGTTTTTTATTTAGATTCAGGGACTCACTGAATTGCTTAGCACTTCACTTTTGCTGAGGCTGGCTTTGAACTCACAATCTTCCTGCCTCAGCCTATCAAGCCGCTGGGATTACAGGCATGTGCCACTGTGCCAGGCTATGATTTATCATTTTAATGTCCTCTACTTGTTACATCTCTCTGCATTCTCTCTTTTCATATTTTGAACATTCTAAATTTTCTTTTACCTTCCTACCACATTTTATTTTCTCTTGATGAACTATGTTTTTAAAATCCTTTAGAACTATTTGGTTTACATTCTTCTGTGCCTACCATTCATGTCAAGTTATTAGTATTGTGGATGGCATAATTGACATATGCTGTTCAATGCTGATCTATTTCACAACTATTTATTGTTTTTTGCTATTGGAAATTTCTAACCCCATTATTCCTGTTTTGGTGGTAATTAGTATTGTTAATGTCATAGTAGGCACTGGGCATATATTTTAATACTGTATGTTATTTCTTTTGATCATTGCTATTATTTGTTTCCCACTTTTTTGAGAGGTTCAGGGAGTCTACATGGACACTATAAATTCACAGGGCAGAGATGCAGCTGGTGAACTAAACCCAGCCAAGAGAGAGTGCACCTTGCCCCACATATAAACTAAGCACAGTGAAACTTTAGTGATAATTTAATACAAAGAATAATGGAGACAAAACCCCAAAACTAATGATCAAGTCTCAAGTAAGAATGGGTAGGGGAATCCTTTGGGTCCCACTCATGGACATTCACTCCTACAGAAAAACAGAATTAACAAAAAAGCTGTTAATGACCTTAGGCTCCCAAACTGCTGGGATTACAGGCATGTGCCCCTGTGCCTGGCTATGTTTTATCATTTTAATATTCACTACTTGTGGATATTAGAGCTTCAGAACTTCAGGCCTTGAAGACAGGGTATATGAACTTGAATCCACAGAGTGCAATAAAGGTAAAAATATAGAACATGACTAGAAAATATAAGAACTCTGGGACAACATTAAAAGACCAAACCTAAGAATCATTGGGGTAAAAGAGCATATGGAGATACAAACTGAAAGCATAAAGAATATTTTTAGTGAGACAGTTACAGAAAATTTTTCTTTTCCCATATCTGAAATAAAGTAGACATACAGGTGACTTGCAGGACCCCAAATAAATTATTCAATGAGAATCTCACCAAGACATATCATAATCAAAATACCTAACAGAAAATAAGGAAAAAATGTTAAAAGCTGCAAGAAAGAAAATCAGATCATATTTAGAGGCAAACCAATAAAATTAGTTTCTGATTTTTTAGTTCAGACCCTAAAATCATGGAGGGTCTGGACTGATATTTTCCAAGTCCTAAAAGAAAACAACTCCCAGCCAAGGTTACTATACCTAGCAAAGCTCATATTCAAATTCAAGGGGAAAATAAAAACATTCCACAAAAAAATCAATCAAAAAGTTGATAAGTACCAAGCAAACACTACAAAGAATACTCAAAGACAAACTGCAAACAGAGGAACAAATTTTTAAAAACAAGAAAAAACAACTTCCAAACAGGGAAGTTCAAATAGAAGAATAACTCAATAAAGGAGAATCAAGACAGGATATAACATAGCAAAAAAATAAAATAAAAATAAAAAAGAAGCAGGAAACTACAAGTACATATCTGTACCAACACTGAAAGTTAATGGCCTCAATTCCCAAATTAAAAGACACAGATTAGCAGAACAGATCGAAAAACAATATCCAACTATATGCTGTTTACAAGCAACTCATCTCACATAGGCAAGGACATCTGCAGGCTGAAGGTGGGGAGAAAAAAAATCTTTCATGCATACTGACCATGAGAACAAACAGGAATAGCTATTCTCATATCTGACAAAGCAGATTTCAAGCAAAAATTAATCAGAAGAGACAAAGAAGATCACTACATTCTGGTAAAGGGAACAGTCTAAAAAGAAGATATTATAATAACAAAAAATATTTATATCCCAAATGTCAACACACTCAATTAAATTAAAAAATACTCCATAACATGAAATCCTGCATAGACCCCTAACACAACAATACTGTGTGATTTCAACACACCCTTATCACCAGTAGACAGGTCATCAAAACATAAAGTGAATAAAGGTATACCTAACCTAAGTAACACTATAATCAATTGGACCTAACAGACATCTACAGAATATTCCATCCCCAGATATCTGAATTCACCTTCTTAGTTGTGCAAGGAACTTTTTCCCAAACACATCATATTCTCTGTCTCAAAGCAAATGCTAGCAAATACAAACAAATCTATGTAATCCCATGTACTTTAACAGAGCATAATGGAGTGAATTTGAAAATAAACAGCAAGAAAAATAATATAGACCACATAAACACATGGAGAATCAACAATATGAAGAATGGATCAGAGAAAAAATGAGAATAGAAATCAAGAAATTCTTAGAAATGAATGAGAACAGAGATGCAACATATTGAAATTTCTGGGACAGTATGAAAGCAGTTCTAAGAGAACTTTATTTTTATCTTTTGTAACCTATTATCTCTTTTTTTCCCAATTGTTAATTTTTGTTGAATGTCACATGGGTTATTTACTGGGAAAAAAGGAAGTGACACTGTACACTATATTGTAGCATGAACTGAGCCAGGAAAAATTAAGGAACATTTTTCCAGGCTTCACCCAACTTTGATCAGCAGAGTTGATGTGAGCCTAAGGACCTCCCTTTTATTCAGCCCTAACGTTATGGCTATTATCAGAGGAGATAACTTCCTCAAAAGCAGCAAGATCATATTTTTAATAAGATTACCCAACCATCCTGAGGAACAAGCTGAGACCTCCAACTTTAACCTAATTAACCTAAGAGGGTAACGTCCTTGTTTAAGACCTCCAATGCATTGGCTTTAAAACCTGGTAATGAACATTTGACACATGTGCAATAAGTATTATGGGCAAGGCACAGGAATCTGTCAATCATCCCTCATTTACCATAAGCCACTCCTAGCAAAAATCCTGCCAGT